GCAGCTGGGATTATCCTCTGAGCCTCACGGTCATGCTTCAGTTTTAAAGCCTGTGTGGACTGTCAAAACATGTAACAGTAAAAACAGTGCCAACACCGAGCCTTGGTTACAATAAATTGCTACTGATGTTATTCATTTAATGTATTGATTCTAGACTTTATTACATTTTGTCTTCAGAAAGAAAAAAAGAAAGAACACTGCACTGTTAATTATGTCAACCATGCTTCCTTCAGTTTTTAAAGTCAGCTTGCTGGTCCTGACAGGACACCCTCAGACAGCAAAGAAGTCTCAACCAGGTGGGGACGAGGCTCACATCCAACAGTTTCTCCTGTGAGACCATATGTCTCTTCTTCCTGGAGTCTGTCACAGCTCAGAACAGCCAAGCCATTAGACCTACCCCACATATGTGCCATGTTACCGTCAAGCACTACAGACTGAGTAAAACAACAGGATTGTTTGTCTGAGCTGCCTTTCCTTTGTCTGACTCAGTGACGGTAAAATGACCACAAGGAGGTTCATAACGTGGTAGTACTTTATCATCACACATTCATTGGAGATGTACAATGTAAGTTTGCTCTTTTGGTAACTGAGCCTACATAATTATATTTGTAGTGAACTAAGCCTCAGGTCAAAACCTGGACCTTCCTGGAACAGGAACTGTTATTTCATTGATTTGTATCCAGAAATACAAATTAAGCTCATCCAGAGACTTTCTAATTGTATCCTGCACTGATCAATTGAAAGAACACTCTCTTTTTATTATCATTACTATTTTACAATATCTTGATAATCAAAGTGTGTTTAGTTCAAACCATTTTAAATGTTGAAGTGAACTACTAATTTTAAATCAACTGTGAAACAGTATTAATGATTTTTAATCCTCATTCAAAGTAGAAATCAAGTTAATGTCTGTTACAGAGTAATTATTCATTTTCTTGATCTTCTGTCTGAAATGAGCAAGTTGTGATGTCGGTCAAAAGTCGGAGACAAACGCAAACAAGTTTATTGGAACGAACTGTCATGTTTTTAAATCCTCTCAGACAGAAATAGAGGAGCTGGCACCTGCTGTCTGTCATCTCGCCTAAACATTTCTCTGTCTGTTCCAAAAACATTTTTCTGTCTGTTCCAAAACATCTCACTGTTTTTCTGACTTCTAGGAACCTCTTACGTCACTAAAACCACACCCCTGTTGGCTCTTTCAGCCAATCAGGACTTCCCAAATGAACCGGAAACAGAACTCTTTAAATGTCGACACTTCCTAGTTCCAAACAGTTCAGTTCGGAGAGCAGAACCGAACAGAAAAGTTGCTGGAGAGAACAAGAAGTTCCAGACATGATCCGAAGTTCTTCCGAGTCTCGTGGGGATTATGGAATCTTCCACATCTGAGTGGAACCTCTGACGGGCTCACAGCTCATGTGAGTCCACCCGTGAGGTGAGCGTGTTGTTGAACGAAGTACCGTCACTACTCCGGCTGTTTTTCTGCTATCCTACGGAGACGCTGGAAAGGTAGCGTTAAATGGAACTCCGTACCAGTGGAGACATCTTCTACAAGGTAACGAGTCCCTCACTACCGAAGTGTACCGAGGTAGAGCTGGGTTCGAATGGAGGGTGCCGTTATTCGTCGACACATTTTCCCTCACACATCCATTTTCTCTCCATTTAAACTTCATTTTCCCATCTTTAAAACTATTCTATCTGCCAGTAATTAATCCAGATATTTTCAGAAATGTCTGTTGTATTTCAGTTGCAAGTAAGAAATCATGGCCGTATGATTTCTCATTGTAAAGCTCATTAATTAAGCTGTGTTATTGTAATCAATCTGCCAATTATTGTAAATGTGTGATGTGTTTAAATTGTTTTTAATTAAACGACTCACTGTGTTGGTGGGTCAAAGATAAAACACGTTTCCGTCCACATTTAATCATTCAATGCACGATAGTACTCAGTCCAGAAAAATGAAAGAATCCGTTAAAATTATGGATAATATCAGACAGGTATTATTTCATTACATATTTACAATTACAGAGTATTGGTACCTTGACTGCTCCTATAGGCCCACAGCTAAATGCAGCCCACTGATATTTAGTTGATAGTTTTAGCCATCTTTGTGTTTTCTAAGTCAGCTGCTGTGGCAGCCATCTTGAGTTGGCTCGATGGTCATCAGCATCCCATTAAAATCTGTCTGGGGGATGTAGAAGATATTTTACTAACAGTCTCAGGCAGGTGGACAAGGCTCAGTCTTAGTACCCACTCTCTTCACAATCTACATACAGTAAGTAATGTAGGTCAGATCATCCTGATGCATCCTTACATTTCTATGATACACTTACATTTACGACACAGAGTTGTTTATTGTCGAGCTAGAACAGTTGCTAAGGTTTTCCAGCTTTTACAGTCTACAGTCGACATTATCCAGTCAGAAACTGGTGCTAAATGCTGATAAAACCAAAGGGATGTTGTTTTCAAACAGGAAGTTGGTCACATCAGTCCTCCCTTCTATCTTATCTATGAAAGGTGTTCCTATTGAGTTTGTCGATTCTTACAAATACTTGGGAATTTTGGTTGATGCACATCTCTTTTTTAAGTCATGTCGAAAACCTGATAAAGAAATTAAAATTGGATTTATTTTTCTGAAATAAATCCTGTCTAACTCAAACGTCTTGAAGCTGCTACTTTCCTTCCTGCCATTGACTTTGGTGTCATTTTTACATGAATGCTCCTGCAAGCACCTTGCAGACGTTGGATGCTGTCTATCACGGTGCGCTAAGATTCATAACTGGCTGCAACTACCGTACCCATCACTGCACCTTGTATTCACTGGTCAATTGTTCATCATTAACTTCATGCAGACTCTCTTTCTGGTACATTTTCATCTTTAAATCACTTCTTGGTCTGCTGCCTTCATATAGCTCCTCCTACATGTCACGTCGTCAGTGCAGTTACTGCGTGCACTCTCAGGACATCATTACCTGCAGCGTCCTCTCAGTGCAGCCTGGATTCAGCAAAAGGGCCTTCTCTTACTCCACTCCTGTAACCTGGAACATCTTGCAAAAAGACCTGAGGCTGTCAATTTTGACCCCACTGAGGGATTTTAAACAAGTTAAGTTCAATGCAAAAATCAATGCAGACATGTTCCTGATTTTAGTATTTTACCCCGTTTCATTTCATAATGTAGCTTGATATTATTTTGTTTTATATCACTTGTACTTACTTTTCATTTTATATGCTTATGACATTATATTGTTGAGTGTACCTCATCTGTGTTTTTTTAAAACATGTCTCTCTTGAAAATGAGTCCTTGTGACTCAGTGAGACTAACTTGTATAAATAAAGGTTGACTGACTTTTGGGGAAATTTAATGAATCTGAAATTCTGTTAAATATAAGTAAATTTTCATTATTAAGGTACATTTATCTCTATTTTTATTGTTGCACAACGTTTTTCATTTTGTTGGACACTTTATTTATTTTGTCTAAACTTTATAAATAATTTTAATTGATTTTAATTTATTTAAGCCACAGCTTAAATAAATTGTGCTCTATAAATAAATCTGACTTGACTTGACTTGAAGATTCCTCTTTGTAGACCAGCATTTGTGATATGCATGTCAATTTATCTGCTTTTTATTTGATAGAATTTTTAGCTCATTTTGCTGTTTTTATTATTGTCTTTACGTGATTCTGATGTAAAGCTTGTGATTGTTTTTTATCTTAAAAATGTTGAATAGATAAAATTTTAATTACTAACCTATTGATTTAAACATTTGCACAGTGCCATCATATTAATCCACAAGATAAAAACAAAGAACGCCTAAATTAAACAATAAATTTTCCAAAATCACAGTAAAGATTTAAACAGATGATTTCACTTAACTCTCGTAGACAGATCTAAAAAAGTTTAATCTGGTCCTCTGGACATTCAAAAAAATAAAAAAATTAAAATTGTAGAAAAGTTTTGTCTTCCATCCGAAAGACTTTCTCAGTCTGAGGTGCTGTATTCAGCTCAGTCTCTTAAATAGCACCTTATCATAGTGGATCAACCAGTTTTGCTACTGACAACCAAAACCAGCTGCTCACATGATCAAGGAGGACCATCAGCCTAACAATGGATCATTAGCACACTGATGGCTGTTTACTATTCACAGGAGGCTGAGTGATACTAGCAATCACAGCATTGTAAGAGGGGGACAGGTGAACACGGAGGCCTCCACCCCTGTTTAATGATGGACGATTTATTTTCACAAAGATGGCCTCCTTTACTCCTCTCTCAAACCATCGTTCCTCTCTATCAAGGATGTGAACATCTTCATCCCTGAAAGAGTGACTGCTGGCCTGGAGATGAGTGTAGACCTTAGAGTCCTGGCTTGATGAAGTTGCTCTTCTGTGCTGGTCCATCCTTTTGGCCAGTGGCTGTTTAGTTTCCCTGATGTAAGACTGATCACAGCCCTCCTGACACTGAACAGCAAACACAATATTACTCTGTTTGTGCCGGGGGACTGGATCTTTGGGATGAACCAGTCTTTGCCGTAATGTGTTTTGGGGTTTAAAAGCCAACTTTCCCCCTCTTACAATGTTGTTATTGCTAGTATCACTCAGCCCCCTGTGAATAGTAAACAACCATCAGTGTGCTAATGGTTACGTTGATGGTCCTTCTTGATTTTGTGAGCAGCTGTTTTTGGTTGTCTGCAGCAAAACTGGTTGATCCACTATGAGAAGGTGCTATTTATAAGACTGAGCTGAATACAGCACCTCCGACTGAAGAAGTCTTTCGGATGAAAGACAAAACGTTTCTACAATTTTTTTGTTTTGTTTTTTTTAAATGTCCAGAGGACCAGATTTAACTTTTTTGTTTATTATTATTTAGATTTTTCTACCTGGATTATTGAGCATGCATCAGGATATCTCGTAGACAGAGCGTTGTTCCGCTTCTCGTTGCCATGGAAATATTTAAACCAATCAAAGACTATTTCACAAGACATGATGAAAATGTGAGCCAATCAGAAGGGGCGTTGTTTGAGCGTCAGTCTGTTTGAAACGGCAAAGCAAGCACTTTCCAACTGACAACTTGAGGAAACGAACGAATGTTCCCTTTTATAAAAACGTAAACAAGTAAGGATTTTGTATAAACAATGTTGCATGTACTTTATTTGTAAGACTTCCTGCTTCAAAGCGATTAGTTACGTATATTTATTATAACCGCAGCTAGATTAGATAGCCTAGCCTCAGTAGCTAAATAACAGTGTTTACCAGAAAACAGATTGAACTACTGAATTTACTATAACTATAATTTTAATAGAAGCCTAGATAAATATAGTGACCTGTTTCTATTCGTCTTATTAATAGAGCTTAGCATGCATTAGTTTATATCATGCAGTATGTCAAAGTTGTTTTTCAACGTGAATATGTTTGCATAATTAGTGTTTATAGCTTATATCCAAGCAGTCATGTATGAAGTATGCATGTGTCACAACATATAAATCCTATGTGAGACACTATAATCTGACATTGTTACCTCCAGATGTTAAGTTCAACTACAGCTGTTGTTTCTATTATTTACATTAGATGTCATCAGACGAAGAAGAAACAACCAGTCCGGTCCTGCCCAAAGACTCAGACCGGGGCAGCTCTGTATCCTCTGAGCTTCAGGTGAATATAAGAAACATTCTACGAACCAGTAACATTGCATACCACATTCTTACAGTAAAGATGTTTAGGACATTTAAAAATATCTCTTGACGCATGCGCAATAATCCGGATAGGTAAATCTAACAAGGTTAAGTCAGGT